GATTTCTAAGATGGATTAAATCTCCGCTTACGCGTTAATAGCGCGAAATATATCGCGCGTTAATTGTCCCAAATTAGCCAAAATGGTAATCTTTAAACCCTCATAACTTTTTGAAAAAAGATCACAGGTGAAATATCTTTTCAAATTTAAGCTCACGACAACAATACCTTTTGAATGATATAAAAAAATTCCGTCAAAAATGGCTGGTTAAAAAGTCGAAATTTGTCTGAAGAAAAAAAACCCACCCGAGCACAAATATTCCGTTATTTTCGTATCGAACGTCGGAACTATAAACACTACATTATTCGGATCTACTTAACAATCTTCCCCCCTCCCCCTATGGTACCTACTTAACAATCTCTCCCCACCCCTCCCCCCCCCCCTATGGTACCTTCTTAAGAATCTCCACCCCTATAAATGAATACAGTAAATTAGTACTGGGCTTTTTATTGAGAATTCTAATTTTACTGCATTCTGATTGGTCGAAAAATCGACCATTTTGATCTACTTAACAATCCCCCCCCCCTTTCTTGAAAGGAGTGGAGATTGTTAAGTAGATCCCATTATTCCTACAACTTTTGCTACCCTCGCTCCTCAGGCACAAAAAACTGAAAAGAATTTGGAAAAAAGCAAAAAAATAAAATTTTCGCAAACGCTGGGAGCCTATCTGGACTTAAATAAATATTGGGGAAGTATTAAATTCTGATCCGCAGCTTAAACTAATTCAAGGAATGTTTTTTTTTCGTCGATTTTTTTTCGTGGAGAACCCAAAAAGTAAACTAAACTACATAACGAGAGCTCAGCTTTCGGCCGTTCCTTTTGCCTTATTTTGATTTTTATTAATTAAAAAAATGTTCTGTTTAGTTCATATAAAGAAGAACTGCATAGTCGTAAAGTTTCCTAATTGGCCGCCAGTTGACCATAAATTGCGTAAGGATAAAATTGATTTGGGAAAACTTTAGCATTGTGAATGAGTTTTACTATTAATTTTGCTCTAGCTTCATTTGATTCGTGGCCGTGTTAAAGGGTTGTTTTTATTTTATTCTATTCCAGAATGAGTTATCATATGTCCTGAGTGAAGTTGATGGGATTTAGGAATGCAGCGAGCGATTAGAAAAAACCTCATTTGTCAAATTTTCTTTTTTTGAGTTTTAGGGGCGAATAAAGGGGAGGGGCGGTTGACTCGCTCCCATAAGGAATTAGACTCCTTCATATTTAGTCCTATCTTACAGGTACCCATTTTCTTTCAAACATCTCGAAAAACTAAATACAGTATCCTTTAGCGCCATTTCATACTAAATTTGAATGGGAAAACAGCCATAAAAGGTAGCTTCATTGGGCAAAAAGTTATAGGGTTCAATTTGGCAAAAAAATTGCCTGCGCCTCAGAAGTTTTCACCCAAAGTGGATGCCTTTTCAGGGTGAGCTAGAAAAATCGACTTCTTTTTCAAAAGTAGGCTTTGAAAAGAAGAAGATATTTAATGCATACGGTATGCTCAATAAGAATTTAGTATTGATTAGGACACAAACATTGATTAGGACACAAACAGAAAAGTAAAAATCTTTTAGTTAAAACAAGTATAAAGAAGTCCAATAAACATCTAATAAAACATCTTGTAAAAAATTAAATATCTCAGATTTTAATTATAAATCAAAATAAATTGGGAAACGTAACACATGACTTTATATGTTGTTCTCGTCTGTTTTTTAGTGAGATAATCTATGGCTAAAACTTTTCTTGTTAAAACAGCGATATAATGAATTTAATTTTAAAACTGAGTAGTGAAAACAAAAAAATGATTAGTTATTTTCTGTTTATTTTTCTTCACAATTGCAGACTCAAAAACACAAAAATCTGAGAACTATTTTTTAAACTAAGGTTGCAATGCATTCAATCTATGAATCTGTAGCTATGAACGTCTGGCAAATTTTCATGATTGTTGTACAAAAAAAATTTTTTTTTGGCAGAATTTTTGGTAAAAGCTTGTTTTCACTCATTGCCAGCAAAAATTAGGAATCATTAGCAAGCATGATCTCTCAGTGTAGAAAAAGAATTGTTTTTCTGAAAATTCTCAGAGAGTAAAATCCAAAAAATCCAGAATATTCAGAAGATCGCATATAGATCTTCTGAATATTAGTAAAACACGCGTCAAAGTAATATCTTTCTACAAATAGCTAATTCAAATTTTTCTTGCATTGAACATAAGAATTGAGATTTAAAAATTATTGGTATGCATAAGAAGAAAGCCATACTGAATTGATAAGGTGAAAAATAGAGTTTTCAATATTATATCCTACACCATCCTCGCTCGCAACTTTTTGACGCTTGCAATGTACTTTCAGAACCTGAATTTTTTTAAATTATAAATTGTCAAAAAGTTTGAAGAAGAACAGATGGCCAAGAGAAACATAAAAAATTGGAAGCTTGTGGAAACAGCCCAATTTGTTTTCATGTAGTCTTATGAGAATTTAAAGTTTCGTTTAAAAAAACAACTTCTTATTAAATCAAAAAATGTAAGTCTAAAACTAAACGTTTTGAAGTTAATACATTTAGATTTTTATTGATGAGTAGCGGAAAACTCAGCGGACCTAAGAACGAGCCATATGAGAAACTCTTTTTAATCTGCAAGCAGAGGGATGTATCTTACACCACATGAACCCAATAATGTCTTCTAGATACAATAAGACCGTTGATAAATAAGAGCTCTAACTTATTCGGCAAAAAGTTGTAATCCATTGTGTATTCTGCTGTAAGAGATTTAAATAGATTTTTTCTAGTTTTTTTTTTGCGGTGGGTAATCACTAATAGTACAATTTTTCCAAAAATCAAACTGTTTGTGGATCGACAATTGAAGTTTTACTATATAAATATTCAGAGTTGAGAATTTTTTCTTAAAAGATCCACTAGAATTATTTAGAAAAAAACAGGTCGCGAGCTGCAATTATCGACCCTACTATCTTCTTGTGCGCCAAAATTGTGCGCCTAACCAGAGCACAATTTGGCATGTAATATTAATTTTATGGGTCACATCTAAAAGTATCGTTCTTAGAAATGATTTTTCGAGCCTACGTGAACCGTTCAGACTCATTTTAATTCAAATTTTAAAAAAGATAGGTAAATTTTCGAAAACAGTGAAAAGTTTTAAACTATTTTAAAATTTTTCTGGCAATCCTACTAATGTTTATTAAAAATATTAATGGAATAAATTCATAATAAAAAACCGTTTGCTGATGATTTTTTTTTAATTTTCCTGTCACAGCCGCAATTGCACAAAAGGTTTGTTGGCATTTTTTGTAAAACTCTAGTCACAGTTTTCACGATTTTTTTTCGAGACCGCAAATTTTCAATTCGCCAATTAAACCAGTCTACATTGGTCTGGCGAGATCTTTTGCTGGTTGCTGAGGTTTAAATTCATCGATCGGTATTATTAGATGATTTCCGTTTATTTCTGAGAATTTCTTATTGTCGTATTAGTTTTTTCAATGCCAATTATCTTGTAGTAGCTTCTGTGGCTCAATCTCCGAAAACGATTCAAGTTGCAGTCCATTTGTTCCTGTTGATTATCTTGGCTAAAGTTTGAATTGGCCAAAACTTCCTGAATGTTTTTGACGATTTCCTTGAATTAGTTATTTGGATGCAATTCCTTGTTTGGCAAGGATAATTGTTGCCATCAACTTTCGATGTTGTTTGAATGTTTTTTCTTCCCGTGTTGAGGTGTTCGTGTTAAGTTTCGATCGAATCGACATTAAATAGCTATGTTTAAACCGACTCGACCAAAAATGTTTTTGTTTTGACGGACTCGACTTGAAATGGCTATGTTTCGACCAAATCGACGAAGCAAAATGTGTTCGACTCTGTTCGAACCAAGCGTGCTATGTTTCGGCAGACTCGATTGAAAGAAATTGTGCTCGACTGTATTCGACCCGAGCGTGCTCTCTTTTGACCATTTTGACCCAAACTGGCTGTGTTTCGACCAACTCGGCCGAAGGAAAATGTGTTTGACTGTGTTTGTCCCAAGCGTGCTAAATTGTGACCAACTCGAACCAAACTGGCTATTTTTACCACTCAACCGAAGGAAAATGTGTTCGACTGATTCGACCAAAGCGTTTTGTTTTTCACCATTTTGACCCAAACCGGGTAGGATTCTATCAAGTGAATTTTTATTCGACCCAAGCGTGCTATGTTTTGACGGATTCGACAAAAACTGGCTATGTTTTGATCAAATCTGTTTTCAGAATCTGTGTCATTTATGCAATTCAAAAAATGATCACCACCAACTTGTAAATTAAGCTGAATATTTTTGTTCTGATATGTCTAAATTTAATTTTTTTAGTAATCGAGTTGTTCAATTTGGATGTGTCAAAAGTTTGAATTTTGTTCAATAGATCAACATTTCTTTATTCGCTACTTCTTTCGGCAAAATATTGCTTTTCAGACTTTTGTCTAAGATCATGTGTAGCCCATTTCCTGAGTTCGACTATGTTTCGAGACTGTATTCGACCATGTTTCGACCACACTTTGTGTGCTTGTGCTCACTATGTTTCGACCATACTTTATGTCCGACCATGTTTTGGCCATACTTTAATTTCGTTTGGGTTCGACCATGACTCGAAAATTTTTTGACTATGTTTCGACCATGTTTTCGACTATGTTTCGTAATTAAGTTCGACGGAAAGGGCTGTTACCACGGATTTTGGGTCGAACAACATCCGTGTATTCGACCAAACTCGGTCGAAACATAAGTCAAACACCTCAACCCGGGTTGCATTTTATTCTTCTTAACAAGTGCTGTAATTAAAGCAAAGGCACTTGTTATCTTGCTTGAGGAAGAGGGTCTGATCTTGTAATCTCAGTGTTCAAACATCATATTCCAGCACCACATCATTCTTTTGATAATCAGCTTGGTCGGTATTCCTCCTCTTCTCTGAAACTGTTTAATGAGTTTATCACAACAATTGAAACAAAAAATGTCTTCTGTACTTTTGTAGTTTTTTTTTCAGCTGGCCACTCAACACTGAAGCGAAACACGTGTGAGGTTCCCTACACGGAAGTGGTGGTTGCCAATGTCCTCATTTCAGTCATATCTTTCTGGATCCCCATACTCATCATATTCGTCCTCTACGGTTTGATCTACCGGAAATGCTCCGAGTTACGGCGACGCAACCGCGAGAAAAAGATATTCCTGAGCACGTATTTAATGCGCAACATGAATTTAGCTTACGGTCTGGAATCAGCGAACCCAAGAGCAACTACTTCGACCAACCGTTCAAGAAGTGCAAACAATACCGGCCAGAAAGATACGCTCAAAGACCCGAGAGCAGACAATTTATCCAGTCCTAACAGCATTGATCCAAAACTTAGCGAGCATTTGAACGTACCGTCGGATTCCAGCAGTGCTTCTGGTGTTCGGTCGGCTAGAGCTTCAAACGGTTCACTGCAAGTGCCCCAGATACACATAACTGCTCCGAGTGAGTAATTTAAAAAAAAAATAGATCTTTTTAAGTAAAATAAATGAAGCTGAGCAAGTAACAACGGATGTTCCGATCACGGTCTCAGTATTCTACTGAAAACAATAAACAAAATTTCGAAAAAAAAATCGGTTTTTTTTTCAACTTTTTTTGGTGGTGGGAGCGGATTGAATCAGGTAGAAAAAAATATCAAAATGAGTAAAAACGATTTCTTTCAACTGTTTCACCCAATCCTCCGTGTAAATTAGTCAGAGAAACACAAAATTCAGACCAAAGCGGAAACGAACACTGGCGTTTTTTGCGGCCGATTTGACTACCTCGGAGAAAACTTGCTGGGGTCAACAGTAGCAAATTAAAGCTTCTTTAGTTGTGATTCGAATTGCAAACAAAAATAAAAATTTCACTTTTTTAACTCACACAAAACTCACACAAAACTTCAAATTGTCTTCTCAATTTAGCTCTTCTACAATTTATAGGATGTTTCAGCGATTACTTTTTTTGCACATTTGAAATTTTTCAATCAATTCAATTGCCTTTTTTTTTAAATCAGTGAAACTGAAATTACAGATAAAACTTTGAAATATATTTGAAAGAAAAGTTCCTTGTTTTTGAAGTTTTTTTCTTAAACCAATGTGGTTGAAGCATTCTGTGGCTAATTGCAGACTATTTTGATTCAATGCTATAATTGTTTTTTTTTACAGGTCAAGCTAAAAGGAAAGACGCCATGACAAAGCAACGCGGTTATGCTCAATCGGTAGTTGATCTGCAGAAAATTGACCCGTCTACAAGCTCGCAGCAAATTATGATGTACGTAATGCCCATGTTGCAGAATTCAAAAGATTCAATAAACGCTGATTTTTTTTTACAAGCTACATTTTTGGACATGAATTATAATCTGAAATATAACAATTCACATGCCGACCCAAAGGCACTATTTTCAGATATCCATTTTTGGTTGACTGACCTTAAATTTTTTCTAAAGGTGCCTTCGGAGCCAATATATATTAATTTAGAGGGGAAGAGCGCACCAATAAAAACGCGATTTTTTGGTCAAAAATATTCCAAAAATTACCTAAAAACGTTTTTTTTGCCTGCTTTTTTTCAAAACTTAGTTCGAGATATTAGGTCGAAATAGGGACTTTTTAATTCTTTGGGAGAGCTCGGAAAATCAATTTGGTCGATCTAAAAAAAGGTCGACAAAATTTTTGAAAGTTTTTGAAAATCCACCCCTTCCCAGCTCGAGAAAATCCTAGATCCGCCCCTGTTTCAAAAGACCAACCGCCGTCATCAAAGACATCCTAAAATATTTTTGCCCCCTAAATGAACTAAATAAATTTTGTAACTATCGCCCATTTTATTTAAGTTCGATGTCAATTGGTCTTTTTAGCTTCACTGCTGACCTGGTCATCTTTTGTCAAGTCCCTAATAGAATGTGGCTTTCCGTTATCTTTGAAAGCGCCCTCCCATTTTTGCCTAATTGGCAACATGACCTATACCAGGATAAAATTTCTTCATCACTCTGGGTTAGGTTAGGTTCTTCATCCTTAATTAGGTTACTTTTATTTTGCAGTTTCCTTGTGAACTGTAAAAGAATTATGATAATTCCAATCTTGATCTGGGAAAAGTCAAGAAATGTTAGGCTCTTAAGTCGTACAATAACAGCAGGTTTAGGGAGGGCAACGGCGAAAGTCCCCCTCCCCCTTCCCTCTGCAATATTTTTTCGCTAGTCTATTTTTTTCGACTATCTTACGGGAGTTCGGTCAAAAAGTAGACAACTATAAAGTAGACAAAATCCTGAGCCAATTAGAATCGAGAAAAGCAATTATTTCGTTCGTTTTTTTTCCTATCTCGATTCTGATTGCTCTCGACTTTGTCTATTTTATGACTGTCTACTTTTTGCTATGTAGCCTATCTTACGACATCCAGTTTCATCCATTTGCCTCTGAAATTTTTCTGCACGCAAAGGTATATATTTTTTGGGTAATGGGGTGAGCGCTAAAACGCATTATCTAAAAAAACGCATTTGTGGGTCGTTTTCAGAAGTTTACATGCGGTCTAATAGGGCCTGATAGAATATTTTAGCGCTTTAGTTCGCTTGGCCTAAATGAAATCGAAACAAACGAAAATCAAGTTTTGTAACTTATGTTCGAAACAACATTTTGAAAAAACTGAAAAATGTGTTTTTTGAAAAAATAGCGCAGACGACTCCGATATGTCAATAAATTGAAAACTTTTAAACAGCAGTTTTTACGCTATTTGAACTAAAATGCTCTTTACTTTTTGAACCTTAGCGGTCTAGAAAACGGATCTACTTAACAATTGCCCTCCCTTTGGTACGTACTTAAGAATTGCAACCCCTATTAATAAAAGCAGTTAATTAGCGCTAGAGCTTTGCATTGAGACTTCTAATTTTGCTGCAATCTGATTGGTCGAAAATGCGTTAAATTAATCTAATTAACAATTGCCCCCTTTCTTAAAGGGGGGGGGGGTAATTGTTAAGTAGATCCTAGAAAACAAATTGCTCTTGTTGTTAAGTGCAACGCTAGCTTAGGGTTTTTAAGGGATGGGATTCAAGTTCAAAGAATCCGCTACCTGACATTTTTTTTTTGGTTCAGCACATGTTTGATTTTGGCAAAAAAGGTCAAGCTTGCAAAATATTTTATGTAGCTTTTTGGACCAAGCGCCTTTTTATTCCCTGTAATGGCACTTATCCATAGCTCTTCGATTAAGATAAGATTAAAAATTGTTTTGACGAGGTCACACTTTTCGAGAGTACGAACGACGATGCCGGATTCTGAAGTTCAATTCTTTTGTTTTTAGAAAACGTCGATCAACTTTGAACTTGTTTTCAAAACAAAAAAACAGTCGACAGGATATCAATATAAACCTCAAAACTGCAAACGGCGTCGCAAAAGACGGAGTCACGTGCGCAAATCCAGGCGGAGCTGTTGGTGACCCCATGAACCCTTTGATGAGTGAACGAAAAATAAACAAAACCCTGAAAATGGTCACCGCAATCATGGGATGTTACATAGCATGCTGGGCTCCATTTAGCTTAATCGTCATCATCAGAAGCATCGACAGCTCAATTGTACCGTTCTGGCTGTGGCACGTATGCTATTGTCTCTGTTATCTCAATTCGACTCTCAACCCATTCTGCTATGCGTACGCCAACAAACATTTCAAAAAGACAGTGGTGATGCTAATGCAAAGCTACATGAATCGAGCCAAATGCTGCAAAAACGGTTCACAATTTTAAGCGATGACGCTCTAGAACTGCTAGAACTGAAACTACAATACTACAATAAGATCGATCAAAAGAGAAGAATTTATCACCAATTGTGACGAATTACATTTGAATAACTTCTTAAAAATTTAATTTGAAGCTCAAAGTGTACAGCTGACGAAACCATTGACGTTACTGAATGCTACGGATTTATGGATTTTGAACGGTATATTTAAAATAGAATTACAATGTCCTTTCTAGAGTAGCCTTTCCCTTTATGGGTTCTTGTTAACTTCCAAACCCCCCCCCATGGTATGACGCGGAGTGTATTAAAGCATTACCAGCCCTGTAAGACTAGTTCAATGATTAAACATATCCACATTTTGTACCTTTGTAACGAAACTTCCCTCTTTTGTAATGGAGGGATAGTTAACAAGATCTCCTAAATGTTGCGAGCAAATGCTTCATGTTGAGTGTATGAGTAGCTTTTGATTATGTGTTATGTTCAATATATTTTTGCATAAAAAATTTAGCTTTGCTTTTTTGTGAAGAACTGATAAAAACTAAGCATTAAAGTAGAACCTAGCGGCGATTTGTTGAAGAAAATGACCTTTCAAAAACATTTGTTGAGTTTTTTTTTAAGTTCAAGGCTTCTTTTACCCTAGCCTCAGGCTCACAATGTGGTAACCTTAATAAATTAACAGATTTTCTACTTATCGAAACACGAGGACCGAAGCGCAGATGCTCTGATCTGATTGGTTAAACTCAAATAAATTGCAAAAACATGGTTAGGCTTGCGCCCAGAATAAATCAAGCAACATCGCGAGGAAGATAAACTAAAATTTGATTATTGGAAGATTTTCAAAGTTTTCAGCATTACCGTGCCAAGCTCAGGTACTTTGGTAGTGGTCTGGATTCCGCATACATTGTCCCTGGAAACCTCATAATTTGCGTTGGATTCCGCAACATTTTGAAAAAAAATTGAAGTCAGAAATCTGATGGAATCGAAAGACAAATGTTTTAGCACTTTAGGGGGGGGTAATTGTTAAGTAGATCCTAGAAAACAAATTGCTCTTGTTGTTAAGTGCAACGCTAGCTTAGGGTTTTTAAGGGATGGGATTCAAGTTCAAAGAATCCGCTACCTGACATTTTTTTTTTGGTTCAGCACATGTTTGATTTTGGCAAAAAAGGTCAAGCTTGCAAAATATTTTATGTAGCTTTTTGGACCAAGCGCCTTTTTATTCCCTGTAATGGCACTTATCCATAGCTCTTCGATTAAGATAAGATTAAAAATTGTTTTGACGAGGTCACACTTTTCGAGAGTACGAACGACGATGCCGGATTCTGAAGTTCAATTCTTTTGTTTTTAGAAAACGTCGATCAACTTTGAACTTGTTTTCAAAACAAAAAAACAGTCGACAGGATATCAATATAAACCTCAAAACTGCAAACGGCGTCGCAAAAGACGGAGTCACGTGCGCAAATCCAGGCGGAGCTGTTGGTGACCCCATGAACCCTTTGATGAGTGAACGAAAAATAAACAAAACCCTGAAAATGGTCACCGCAATCATGGGATGTTACATAGCATGCTGGGCTCCATTTAGCTTAATCGTCATCATCAGAAGCATCGACAGCTCAATTGTACCGTTCTGGCTGTGGCACGTATGCTATTGTCTCTGTTATCTCAATTCGACTCTCAACCCATTCTGCTATGCGTACGCCAACAAACATTTCAAAAAGACAGTGGTGATGCTAATGCAAAGCTACATGAATCGAGCCAAATGCTGCAAAAACGGTTCACAATTTTAAGCGATGACGCTCTAGAACTGCTAGAACTGAAACTACAATACTACAATAAGATCGATCAAAAGAGAAGAATTTATCACCAATTGTGACGAATTACATTTGAATAACTTCTTAAAAATTTAATTTGAAGCTCAAAGTGTACAGCTGACGAAACCATTGACGTTACTGAATGCTACGGATTTATGGATTTTGAACGGTATATTTAAAATAGAATTACAATGTCCTTTCTAGAGTAGCCTTTCCCTTTATGGGTTCTTGTTAACTTCCAAACCCCCCCCCATGGTATGACGCGGAGTGTATTAAAGCATTACCAGCCCTGTAAGACTAGTTCAATGATTAAACATATCCACATTTTGTACCTTTGTAACGAAACTTCCCTCTTTTGTAATGGAGGGATAGTTAACAAGATCTCCTAAATGTTGCGAGCAAATGCTTCATGTTGAGTGTATGAGTAGCTTTTGATTATGTGTTATGTTCAATATATTTTTGCATAAAAAATTTAGCTTTGCTTTTTTGTGAAGAACTGATAAAAACTAAGCATTAAAGTAGAACCTAGCGGCGATTTGTTGAAGAAAATGACCTTTCAAAAACATTTGTTGAGTTTTTTTTTAAGTTCAAGGCTTCTTTTACCCTAGCCTCAGGCTCACAATGTGGTAACCTTAATAAATTAACAGATTTTCTACTTATCGAAACACGAGGACCGAAGCGCAGATGCTCTGATCTGATTGGTTAAACTCAAATAAATTGCAAAAACATGGTTAGGCTTGCGCCCAGAATAAATCAAGCAACATCGCGAGGAAGATAAACTAAAATTTGATTATTGGAAGATTTTCAAAGTTTTCAGCATTACCGTGCCAAGCTCAGGTACTTTGGTAGTGGTCTGGATTCCGCATACATTGTCCCTGGAAACCTCATAATTTGCGTTGGATTCCGCAACATTTTGAAAAAAAATTGAAGTCAGAAATCTGATGGAATCGAAAGACAAATGTTTTAGCACTAGTATGACATGCTTTGTTTTTTTTTTGGTTTCGTCCTGGAAGTTAGTGAAACGTCCTAGGTTGAGCACATATAGATAATCATCGCTGCTTTATTAAAAATCTAGTTTGACTGAACATTTGGATCTTGTTAAATATTTACACCCTTTTGGACCTTGTTAACTATTTCTCCCTATGCATGTATTATGTTTGACAACCATTTTTGTATAAAATATGCATTTCAAAATTCAAAAATGTCAAAAATTATTTGAGTTTTCATTTTGGCGCGTTGATACTTATATAAAACAGAAATTAAAAGTTTTAATTGGTTATATATCATCTGAAAATTGTTTTAAGCCAATGCTAAATCATCGATAATAAATGTTAAACTGGTATCCCTGAATTTTTGATGTATTTCAATGAATTTGAGTATCGGTACTTTTACACAAAACGGCCTAAAACCAAATATTGTATATCCCGAGCTGAAATTTATTCAGTCGAATCTTATTTGCTAATTTTAGCCAATCAAGTTCAAGCAACACGGTTAAGCATTTCAATCAACGTTTCCAGGTGATAAACATATAAGCCGAATTTAACGAAAAGATGGACTTTCACTAAATCATCAAATGATTTCAATTCAACCACGAAACTTCCCAGACAAAAAAAATAATTAAAACGGTTTCAACAGAACAAAACTCATTTTTTATTTCATTTTTTAGTTATTTCGGCTAAGTATTTTGGCTGCTTGAAATGTTCATTGAAATGCCAGACTATGTTGTCTGAATTGGCTTGGTTAACTGGCAAATCAGATTCCTTTGGATTCCCGGGCGCATTAGTTGTCCAAAAAACATTCTTGTGAGTGTTTGCAAACTAGTCCAAATTTTATGTTAGACTTACTATCTGCAAACATTCACAAACTACAAAAGTGCAATTACAGGACATTTCTGCGTATTTTTTTTAAAAAAATGTGGGTACAAAAAAAGATGCCTAGCAGGCAAAACTTTTGAAAAAAGTAAACTTCAAAAGTTTTCACTAAATTTACTTTTTTTGGAAGTTCTACCGAATGGGTATTTTTTTTGCCAGAGACAATACTCTGCTTACAACGATGGGCAATAATCTGTTCACACATCAGAGCTCACAAGGAACGAGTTTACACACAAATAATTTTTGTTGATTAGTTTTACTTGATTTGAAAAATTTCTATAGCGAGCATCAGTCGAAATGGTTCGTCGAAAAAACAAAAGCATAAACAATTCCAGATATTAGAACTCACAAAAACCACTTGAAAGAATTGAGGTTTTCTATGAAGTTGTGACTACATGAAAAGTATATATATTTTAAAAATATCAAATAGACTTTTAAGAACTATGACTTTAATTTCGAAAATTAAGACTTAACAAATGTCAAAAATTTTTTAGAACACTGAAAATATAATTTAAATAGCATTAAAAAACATGCTTCAGTTGATGATGGGACAAAATATTAGGTTTAAAAGATCATATAGTAGTTCTTACGAAAGTTTCCCAACAATTCCCAAGATTAAGCCTTACTTTGCAGACGTTACAGAGAAAAAAAATTGGAATGTTTTTTTTGCCCATATTGTTTGGTGCGCAACATTTTTTTGTATAAGGTATTCTCAGATTCTGAAAGAATCTTTGAAAAACATTTAGTCGTTGTATGATGGTATAAACATTTTTTTGTTTTTAGCGTGCTTACAGTTTACAGCCAGTGCGATCCTAAGGTTTTCATGAGAAAGGAAACGGATTTTAAAAACATTTGGGAAGTTTTATCGTGTTTTTTCAAGACTTAAAAATAATTTTTCTAGCTTTTCTGAAACAATTTAAAGGTAGTTTACTGAAGAAAAAAAGGAAACTATTGCGTTTAAGCAAATTTTGGAAATTTTTAACATCATTAATTATCCCAAACTAGCAGTCTTGCAATTATTTATGATGCCATTTGTTCATAAACTGACTCTTTTTTGGTAAAGGGACGCGTTAAAACATTGGAACAGTCCCATAACTGTACAAAGTTAATAGCAGGTGAAATACTTACAATTTTCAACTTTGAGCTTGAACCGCAAGTTTTTTTCAGATTTCAAAATTATTTATGTAAAATTTCAAATGTAGTTTGAATAAAAAAGCCAAACCAAGCTTAAAATTCTGTCGTTTTCCCCATAAGTCGAACAATTGTCTTATATTCGCAGTCATTGCAGGAAACTTGGAAGGAAGCTTCTTTTTTGAATTGAAGTTAATCTAAAAGTATGCTCAGAAACGTTTGAAGAACTACAAAAAAAATTATTGGCTTCTGCAATATTTAAACAATCGGCTCTTTTTCCTCCCCCACCTCATATAAGCATCATATTTCAGCATTTTTTGGTTTTATGGTGCAGTAATAACATAAAAAAATTAATTGTAAGGAAATGTTTTTTTTCTATAATTTGAAGTTTTTTGTGAAAATCATCCCCCCACACGCCATTTAAAGTACAAAAAGATAGATTTAGCTCCTTGTAACAAATCAATTATGGCAAATAAGCTTCTTTCA